CATACTCACGCACCTGTTGGGGTTTGAACCATCAGGCAAAATGTGATTCAAACCACCGGACGGGCAAAGGGAAAAGGTTATTACTGACAGCATCGCTAGTATCCGAAGCCGCCTCAAAGTCAGCGCAACTTGTTCGCCTACTGCCCATTCCTCGCGTCATCTGTATTCCTTAAACCATCCTTGCTCGATTCTTCGACTAATGTATTCCATTCATTTACACACCGGGCGCATTCGTTCATTAGCGACGCTGCGAATTTAATCTTGCAGTAGGCGTTCCATTATGCATAGACCACTTGACTTAACCAATATTCAGCCTAATCGGGCCACTTACAAGGCCCCGTCTCGCACGTATCTCAACCTGCCCCGTCTGGCTAAAAATCACATAGGCCTATGCAAATATGGCAATTAAATAGCATTTTGGATCATTTAATCAAGTCAAAAATAGCGAGGGACGTAACATTATAGGTACGTGACGAAAGGGTTTCCGCGAAAAGTTATCCAAGATTCAGAATATGATAAGTGCATTCATTACGAACGCTGAAAAGAATAACATCTTCGATAACATGCATGTCGAGGTACAAGACTTATTACAGGTTTCATACACACCGCGTAGGGTATCGGCCAGTTGTAATTCCAGTCAAATAAAGGGGGAACATTTCTGTCTTTGAGAATACTTTTTGCTATCTTTAGTAAAATATCTTATAGCACACATCTATAAGCCCTACTTCTTCAAATGACAGAGAAAACGTAAATAAATTTTGACACACCAACATCTTTACAACAAATACCTCTGATCATTATCAAATCGAAGTTCAGTTTTTAGGTACTTTCTATTTTTGTTTTCTTTTTTCTTTCCTTTTTTTCTGCTATTTTTCCTTGTTTGGGTAATCCCTTTTCACTGGATTGCATGCACTAATCGCCTCCTGCGTATATACCTGCCTTGGTGCAAACACACACGATTGAAATGCCGCCTGATGATATCGTAGAAAATGAAATTGAACGAGAATACGGAGTTCAACAAATTAGCCGCCATTTGGCGAGATTTGAAGGAATAATTATTACCAAAACGGCAGAGCGCACGGAGAGAGGAAAAACTTGCCTCGGAACAAAAATGCTTCTGGTGTTTTGTAAAACTTGTCTAGGTATCTGAGTCAAACTACGACCAATGAACACCTAGCCGTCCCACTAATAAGCTCCTGTATAATACGCGTAGACTATATACATCTCTCTAATGCAATTTGAACTTGGGTGACGGGACGGATTCGAGTAAAGAGTAGAAATCAGTGACCCGTCAATGCCCTGATCCGATTGGGACCCGGTACGGTATAATGATCTCAAGGTGCCCGGGCGATGAAGAGAGCGCGTGGGGTGAAACAGATCAGATATGAAAAGTCCGTTATGCATAGGCGGCTGGCTAAATTAATAAAGGGGGAGGTAAGGGGGGGGGGGGTACCGGGGTTGAACCTGTCAAGCAATAGGTGTCTCTTAGCGTTCTCATGGTCCCGGCGGCGTAAACAAAACTGAGGATTATACTGTGCAGGCAGAGGGAGGATTCTCTTTGCGCTTAAAGGGAGCCTTGATGTAATAGCGTGAATAATTCCTTGATGCCAACCCTTAATTATCGGTCACCGCGTGGAGAGAGTGGCCTTGGTGTTTGACCGGCGCAATAATCACGGCGGCCGCTGATTTTGTGACCGCATCCAGCAAACCAAGATTCAATTTGGTACATTTGCGAGATTTGGTATAGTTTGGTATTCAAGCGTTAGCCTTTTTTGAAATCGTTTACAAGAAAAGCAAAGTTCGGTTTGTTGTATATAATTGTTTTTTATTTCCTTTTCCAAATTCTCACGCATAAAATGTAAAGCATTGAGATGTAAAACACTTCGTTTCGTGGTATGACTAAGTCTTAACCCCGACCCATGTTGACTCTTTGTTTCGTATAGTCGCGCAAGCTAATCCGACGTACAAGATGGTGCGGCATATTAGGGATATGTTGTTAAAGCTTTGAAAACTCTTTCATTGGTTCGTTTCGTTGTACAATTAAGTTTCGATCCCGACGCATAAGATGTACGACTGTCCTGTCACATTATACAGGGTGTTTAAAAAAAAAGGAAACCGAGCTTATTTTGTTGATTTCTCGGGTATGACTAATTATTTTGGAAAATGGTAACCACCGTCTGTTACATAACCATCAGAGAGAGAGAGACGTTATCAGGAATGCGTTCACAGCAATGAGAACCAGGGCAGGGATTTACGTTGAAAGGAATGGGGGGCATGTTGAAGGACAGTGGGGTTAACGGGGACAGTGACGAACCTTGATATGTTTTAGCAATTGAATAAATGACTTTGATAATGTACGTCCTGTTGTTATTTTCAACATGCTGAAAACTGTCAGTTGGTCTTATGGTGCATGTGCACCAAGGCCATTTCTGGCATGTCAGTTACATCACTTGGTGCTCAGTCATCCGTGACGGTAAAATGGAGTTCCTGATGTCAAAAAAAGAAGACACGGTTATGGAACAGATGGTGGTTACCATTTTCCTAAATAATTAGTCATACCCGAGAAATCAACAAAATAAGATCGGTTTTCTTTTTTGAAACACCCTGTATTGTTCAAATTTTAATTACACCTGATCCGATTATCGTTGTATAAATCATTAAGGCTCTACTTAAACGTAGACGTATTACATGATATTGTTTGATGTTCTAAACACTGACCCATTAGATGTGCAACATTACCTTCTATATTGATTCTTCGTTTCGTTGTATCATTTAGTTCTAAATCCTGAGACATCAGATTGAAAACATTATGTTGTAATGGCTTTGATAAATCCCATAATGTTATCACGCAACCGTGTTGGGGCTTGTCAATCAACACGTGATAACTATAATGACTCATTACATTTAAGTGCGTTAAAGGGGACAGGTATTTACCGCATAATGTGAGCCTTTGAAGAGTTTAGAATAGTAGTTATGGGTATCAAATAGTTTATCCTGAGTCGTTCCCGCTTCATTCAGTTTTCATGGTTGGATACTGTATTCCAAAGCTGTTTCTGATTATAACACACAATTATTTAAATTGAATAAAATATAATTAAGTTACAAGTATAGGCCTATTTTAATACAGAAAATACTGCGAAGGCCACTCAAGTATCACTGATGCCAACAAAGGAATACAATGTATTTATAAGTTTCTCCACACTCTCAGCACACATGGTATTGCACATGCATTATTGACGCAAAGAATTTGTCTTTAATACGAAGCTCTGCATTATAAACTGTGTAGGCCTACCAGGTGATGTCCAGACTTAGTTAAGACGGAGACAATTTCTAATAATTACGATTTTCATATCACAAAATTACAATCAGTGTTTTTAATCAAACGCTTATATACAATGCATGAAATCATTCCCCCAAAAAAATATGAACACGGTATTGAATCTTAATGAGATGAAATGTCCTTTGCAATATTTGAAATAATAGTCGGGTGCCTTCCAGACTTACATGGTTATAATACCAGTTCGTCTTACAGGTTTATATATTTTGAAGGAAAGTGAAACGGGCACCCATGTTCAGGTTTCTGAATCAAGTTTGTATCGCGCTGTAGAGTCAGTTTCGGCCGGTGCCTCTTAACATTAATTACAAATGTAGGCAGCGAAAAAATATCATTAATGTTACTCTTCACTGTTCTGTGTTTCATGAGACATTGTATTTTGGATTTGATATCGTTGAGATATGAACATTCTTCCCTAAAAATCAAAAGCTCTTAAGAACAGTTGTGGGCCCAGACACGCTAGATCAAGACATGTTTAACAGGCCCATACGTGTATTTTAAATGGGTCGTTACTTTTACGGTATGAAATTGTCATTTCGTCATGCTTTATGTCTGCCCTCCTAACAGAACGTTTAATTTCAGACGTGACTGACTCTACGCGTCATATGTGACAATTATTTGTCCAAATGTGAGTATGCGAAAGTTTGAGTAAGAACAAAAAGTGTATACCTTTATTTGCTTATTGAATAAATGCAAACAATAACACACAATAGGCGTGCTACGCGCCTAAAAAATGAAAAGGACGTCTGAATGGAAATATTTGAGACGTCTTAAGACAGTTTGCCCCGGCATCTTAAAAAAACTTTGGCATGTCTATGCTTTCAGAGGTGATGTTGTTTAATTCCGATAGACCAGGAAGTCACGCTCGGCTGACGAGATGAGTTAATTTGCACTGACTTAACAAGAGCAGTCGTGATATCTTCGTCACGCCTCGTTTGAAAAATACCGACCGCGATTTCTCAAATTTGCTCCCCTTTTGGAAAATTACAAAAGGCTCCTGATTTCTTGCAGGAAGTTCAAGATTAATCAACTTTCAACTTCCTATGGCGCTGCGGGCCATGTTTCAATGACGGCGGCAAATTGTAATTAGGAAGGGTCTCGACAGGGCGGTGTGAAGACAAATGATGCACGCTTCCTGTAGAACTTTCTAGAAAACATGCAGCGTATTTTGCATTTGGTTTCTATGATATTACATAAAAGCCCATCATGTTTTCAAACTTTCAAGTTTGATAAGTTGTGAAATATTAGAGACATGAATGGGAAAAAAAAACTGGTCGTTACACATTAAAATTCTACCTGAGAGAATATTTTGATACATGACAATTATATCAATAACAAGCATGGAATATGGTGTGCCCCAAGAGGTGCTTTATCTGTTGCAGTACATTGCACAAGACAGAAATGAAAGTAGGACATCACTGCATGAAGTATAATCCTCTCCATTTTGCAAAAACGGGGGTATTGAATTAGGTTTAATGTCCCTGACAATAATCGATTCGTAGACTCTTTCAGAATTCGAATATACATACCTATTTCATTTTACACATGTCATGGGGTTAGTAATCAATACATCTCTCATCCCTGCGCTAAGCAGAAAGGGATTGGTCCGATCTCTTAATTCAAATTTTGTATATAGCAGCAGGAGTCATTAAAGTGGTATTCTTACCTTTTACAAACGGTGTCTTTTCAGTGTCCTTAGCAAAGGCAACTGTGGGGGAAAAAAAGTAAAAATAAACAATTCTGTTGTCTTGAATATTAATGCATATAGCTTAGGTGCTGAAAAGGGTTAGTGGTATTTCAACTTGAGACAACCTTTTTGCTCCTTTTGTGAAAGTGCTGAAAAATAATCAAAGATTTGGTAAATCATACAATCAAAACATTTCAGTATTGGTTTTAATTAAACGGGAAAACATAGGTTATAGAATCGAGTCCACTTTGTCATCGTACGTTAACTACTGAATACGTCCACGCTGTGGTAACCTCGAACTATTTCCTCTGGTAACCACAGTTCAAATAGCCCGAAGAAAAAAAGGAAAGTCGATAGCCTTCAACTGCAGCACTACACCATCTGCCAAGGATTGAATTAAATATCAACATCTATAGAAGATCAAATCTGCTACAATTCCCCCTAAAGACTAGGACGCAATTCAATAGCACCTGCTATTTTGATTCGGTCATTTGTTTTTCTGGGTTTTTTCACATTAACGTGAACGTTAGGTGGAATTAGATACATTTGAATGCGGGTAACTTTTAGAGCTTTTTATTGCTTTTCAAAAATTTAAAAGCACTGGGTATTTTTCATGTTCTGTTAAATAGAAAATGAACGGTCCTTCGTTTGATATATCCTCCTCCTCGAAGCTGGGCCTATAGCCATCAAGCTCAGTTACACGTAGTCAAGTTGGCATGTTTACTTAAAATACTCTCATATTGTTAAATGCCATGCCGTCTTCGTGATGAGTTCTTTCTTGGTAGGTATCAGCTTACTGAATAGTGGTTGATAATTATGTTCCTCCAATTCGTGTATTAAGGTTACTGTGTGAGACGTTCATTGTATGTACAGCTATAGGCGCTGTCTTGATGAAAAGGGGTATGGTACTGTTTCATTTGTACATTGTGAGTGGGTATGTAATTCGGTCGGTGACGTAAGTAATGTATGTTCCCGTCACCCTACGATTGTTATAGTATTGCTACCAAACAGTATCTGTGAGTTAGCAGAATACATGATTATCTCCTTTAATGTTATGTTCTTCTCGTGTCACGTTGATCACAACAGAAACCAGGAACCTCGAGACAACCAACACCCATCCTACGCCAAAACATGAACGTGATAAACTCCCCCAAAGCGTCTTCTATTGCCATTTAAACTTTTCACAAAATGTCAGAAATATTTAACATCTTTCTATGCTCTTTTATTTTTCTCACAAGTTAGCCTACAAAAATGTATTACCTCCCAATATTTCGTCCGGAGAAAAATCCTGTAAAGCGGCGTCATTTGTTTACGTAATAAAAATTGTGTTCTGTATTAAGATCATAGCCGAGCAATATTCTCTCGGCATAGTTGCATAAACCCACTTGTCTTGGAGGGACTTTGTGATTATCTACTCTTTCAGTGGCGTTGTAACCATCCCTCCTTCACCTTGGCCATCCCTAACGGTCTCCGAAATCCAGCCGGCCAAGTAGCGGATATTTAAGAATGTGCCCCTCTTCAACACATCATTCAGGGAATAAAAAAACACCTCTTGATTTACTGCACGGGCAGCGAAGACGAAGGAATTGAAAACATCCCACATGCTTCTAGATGAACGTGCATAATCACTTCATTACCGGTCAGGCAAAAGATCTGTTTTGCAGAAGTACGGCCACGCTATTTCTTCTCTTCTTCTCTTCTTCTTCTTGTTGGTCCTTGTAAGGAGAGCACTACGCTCCGTCTCCCCCGAATGCATAATCGGGACCCGCATCTGCATTGTACATCGCACTTGATCGCGTTCGGCCTTGGGGTGTTTTTTAACTCCGAGCGGCCAGCGGTGCGAGCACGGGGATACCAAGTGGCGTGGAGGGTGACACGGTGACACCACCGGCAAGTTGAAGCGACGGATCTCGGTGAAGATGTTTATCGGTCTGGTGACCAAAACATATTTGCTTTCACCAACTTCAAATTGTTGTAGTGTCTTCTTTATCCCCAATTTGTCATTAAAAAAATTATAGTCGTCATTCTGAAGCTCAAAAAACATTCACGTGAAAATTTAAAACTTAAAATATAATTTTGGGTTTAAGATCGAGAATACAAACATTTTAGACTATTTCGACATGTTAAAATGAAAGTGACAAAATCCGATTAATATATTTATCTTGAATTATTAAATTATCTCTGGAAATTTTGGGGGTCATTAATAAACTTTGAAGATATTTAAGATGAACCTTTACAACAGTTTTCCGTTACCTCAGAAACCACTGCAACTATTCCATTGTGTGTTTGTGTACACAGCCGTCACTGAAAATATGGCAGCAGATGTATAGCAGCCTTTTTAAAAGACGAATCAGACGTGAATTGGATCATTATTGTTTGTTTAAGAGGAAAAACTGTCGTAAATGCAAATAGTGCACTAAAATCCGATACCACAAAGATAAAAGTTGATTAAAAGTGCGTCACTTACCGTGCAAATAAGGTAGAACCAAAACTGTAAGAACGCTTGTCCACGCAAACATCCTGACGCTGACCGATCCTGACATCGTTCATCAACTCAACTGCTATCTTCGGTAGACGAACATTCATATACGGCCGGTGCGCGTGGACGTGGCCACGTACCGAAGCTAACACACTAACGTGCGGCGTGAAATCAAAACTGCTGTTCCCGTGCTAATATTTACGAGTGTGTTGCCGATGAGATGCCGGGCGAATTGGGTTTGGTTGCCGGCAGGCTGCCGGTAGTAGGAGAGTCCGACTCGGCAATGATAATGTCCAAGGGATGGTGCACGAATGCGTACGAGATTTACATGAGTCCAGCCTATAGCTATATCAAATCAGTTCACGCATACACACCAGATACACAAACTGTCAGCATAACTAGCAGGTATACACATAATTTCGTATTCATAAGATTAGCAACCGCAACATTTGCAGGTAGGGGCAGCGAAATGAAGCTCAACAATAATTGTGGATACACGCTCGATTATTATACAGTACTGACTTTCGAATCGTATGCGCGATTAATTTTACAAAATCCAAAACTTCACAGCGGTTGGCAGTGCGGGAGTGAAGGTTGGATTATGCGTTGGGAGCAAGATCAGTCTAGCTGGTAAGGTGACGATAACGAAGTAACAAGCTGATTCCGTTTCTGTTTGCCTAGGGCAATGTGACCGTGCGATGCATGTTCACGCGGAGGCTGATCCGAAGACAGTTCCCGGCTAGAGTCCGGACCATCTACCTCCACTATGGCGTGAGAGAAAGTTGCGAATGCCCATTCACGGACAGTCCGTCTGACAGAAAAACAAACAAGCGATGACTTCTTTATTACTGACGCCGCCCAGTGTCACGATTCACCCGGTAAATGAGGCCTTTTATCCCCGCAATCGGGTCCGGACAATCACCGCGAGGTGTCGTGTTCGGTAACCCAACCGTGAAGTCGCCATTGAGATCATTCAACAACTGCTAACTGTCATCTCGAAAACAACACTTTATAAACCACACGACTCTCGGAATGACCATCACCGAAAATAATTCCAACGTCATGAAGTGGTCACCCGACTGAGACAGTCCCACTTCTGGACTTCTACTAGACTGGTACCTGCCTGGCAAAGACTTGTGACAGGTAGCAGTCTTCATGTGCACGTAACCCGTGATCACGTGATAAACATTCAGCTGATGCGCACATGCAAATTAATACTTCACATAAGTCACACTGCCTGCATACCAGTACACTTCACAAAGATCATCAGTCGCAAATGTTGCACAAACACTATAGTACATAATACAATGTATCATGTTAGTACAATTATTGGTAAATTGAGGTATAACGCCAAGTGAAATCCAAATACAAACCCGAGCAAAGGTGTTTTGTAGCTTTGAAAGAGCGGCCGCATGGTTAAACGTCTCAGTTTAAAACAACAAGTGCTAGTACACAATAAGCTCCGGCCCTCTTGCCTGAAAGTCATGCATGAAATGATTGTGCGAACAAGAGCTTAAAAATCCTGATTACTCTTAAGCATTTTAAGGTTTAATTGTAGACTTACCGGTACACAAATCTGGGTTTCTCACTGAAGCAATGCGAGAAATTAACCGGCAGTGGAAAAAATATTATTTGCAATTAACACTACAATGTTGACTTCTCCCCTCTCGTCTTTTTTTTAATTCTCTCTTTTTTGAATTGCTTTTTCGGAGGGAGGGGAACGTCCACCCTCCTTTCACGACGCCCATAGCTGAGTTACCTAAATTAGAAGTTAACACCCGTGGAGAAATTCAAACTTACACATAAACTGAAAACCGAATGTATTGTTTTTCGTACGGTTTGTGATTGACCTCTTGCTTAGCCACTGATGATGATTACGGCTATCCCCTGACGCCATACCTCGTTATCTCTCCAGTGATTGATTTCCAAACCAGCACAATTGCCTCGTGTTTGTCATCAATTCATGATGCCTTGAAATCACAGTTCATATCATTCCTGTGGCACGAGCTCTAGACTAGATAAGTCAGTGAGCCGTTCAAGTGAAAGTACCGCTTAAAAACTTAACATGTAAAATAAGATGTTCACTCATTACACGCAATATGCGTGACCTTTTGCATGTTAAACTATTTTGTTGTTACTAAATGTTGTGAATGCACAGTGTTCCATGCTATAGGAATATAGTCTGGAAACCGAATTACTCCCCCCCCCACACACTCCACTCCCTACCCCCCAAGGGCGGATCCAGAACACAATTTTTTGGGGGGACAAAAACATTTTTGGATTCAATGTTGGATTCTAGATGCTCTGTGGTGCGATCTGAGGCAATTTCTGACCACTTTAACCAATGTGGTTTTTTTTGAGGAAAAGATGGTGGTGTACTCATTGCCTGCCTTTATTGCGATGTCACATAAAAAAATAAAAAATTGGTCTCGTTTTTTTTGGGGGGGGGGCATGGCCCCCTTTGCCCCCCCCCCCCCGGATCCGCCCTTGCTATCCCCAGGGGCGGGGCGAGGTGATCGGGAAAGAGGGCGCTTGCCAGTTTGAGCTGTCACGCCGTTTCGCCACCAGAGGGAAACTTTCATTCATGTTTACACTCTGTGCATTGCAAAGCTTCACAGGAACACTTTAGCGTGGTATCGATCATGTTTAGGCATAATGTTATTTCTGTGAAGCTCCGGTAGGCCTAGGTCGCTCGCTCTCTCGTTCAACTTGTATTTACCCTTGAATTTAAATATTCAGACACAACGCCAAATGCAATGACTCCCACTAATGGTCGTTATAAAAGACAAGGGTAATTGAGTTGATTTGTCAAGATCTGAAAAATTAGCCACAGTTGTATCAATAAATTAAACACCAGAAGCAATAAACAATCTGATAAAATATGAATTCTACATGTTATCATTTTGCAGTTGAGCAGAAGGCATCGCAAAAAATATTACAAGCTTAAATGATGATGAGCCGAGTGCACGATAAGGCACGGCACCATTAACATTCCTCACGATACTAAACATTTATTCAGCTGATGTTCTCAATCATATGGAGGTTGCGGCGACGGTACTCCTCTAAATATAACTTGAGGCTATGGTGATCACGTCGGCGGCAGACATTTCTAGTGTGATCATTTCCCCCTATCGCATTGCTCTTCAGATGAAAGTATATCGAATGTTGCATGCATTTTTGGCGCGAGAAATATGATTTGAAGGTTTGCATCAGTGGACGTTTGCGGGTAACAAAATCAGGTGACATCAGCACTCTTTCTTGGAGTTAGGGGTATCTGACAAGAAGTGGTATAAACGTTTGGGCAGTAGGCCTACATGCTGTGTTCAGAGAGAGGAAGGAGATTTCTCGACAATTCTTATTCAATGTTGTCCTACGAAATTTACAAGAGGAGACAAGCCTATAAAGCTGGACACATGACACAATGATGACTATAGGCTGTTCATCTGCGAGCAACAAAAATTGAAATCATGCATGTTGCACGGCTTACATTTTCGTCTGAGATCTAATTGAGCCACGTGAGATAGCTATTTGTATATGAGGAACACACCTATAGATATTGGAGCGAGCCGTGCATCTTTTTACTATTCATTTGTCTAACTCGTCCATTTTTGGTTGCGAAGGGCGATTTTAAAGGTTACGTAACACTTTATTTTGAATGAAACTACTTGTACACACACATGTTCACATTGGCGGGCGAAATCTTTAAAAGTTAATTTCTCACGTTTGGAAGACCGTATCTTCATGCAACTGTCAGAGTTTATTTCCCTTATAATGATCCAAGTATGTGCTAAAAATCGTTGTGATATGTTCTTTACTTTTCGTTGAAATTGGAAAAATAGGTCTGACTACGTGCATATTTGAAAGCTCAACACTGGCTTTAAGCAATGTCTGTCAATCTTTTCAAGCCTCACAAATGTTAATAAGGTTCCTATCCATTATGGTGTGCAGTAAAAATGTGCATGAAAGTCTCCTTCACGAGTTATTAATTGATAAATATCACCCTTTTTGCCGGCTTCCATTGGTCGATACCGAGACCAACGCCACGTCACGCCAGGTTACGCTAATGAATATGCTAATATACCAGTCGTGCTGCGCTAGGCCGAAATTGGTCAACCGTAGCGCCTACGGCGCTCTGAAAACCATGCAAGTGGGTTGGGTCGCAAAAATCCTCGTCGAGATTTTCCTTAGAGATAAATCGAGCTGTAACACAAGCGTTAGCAACAACAGATTAAGCTGAGATTTGGTATATACTTAAATGATATAAGTGTTCAACTACTCGTGAAATAACAACCTTCGTAAATTCCTGGAAATTGATATAACACATAGATTTTGGGACGTTTTCGAACGATTTCTTCCAGACTTGAAGATCTGCTTTACCACTAACCATGCAGTATTGAGGTTTCGGCATCGATGACGGCAATTTTGTCACTGACGTGAAGTTTAGAATTTCTTCTTCCGTTATAATTTAGCATTTCAATCATACTTGAGCATATCTTCTGAGAAACACAACGTCCAAAAGGCCATGTTTTTGGGGGTTTTTTTTTTGGGGGGGGGTGGTTTCACGAATTTCACTGCTCTGTTACAGCGTCTAAGTACGTACTTAATCGGATTAGCTTTACTTGACAACCAGCCAAGCTTCACCCTCGCAACCATATGGCTGTGTAGGCCTATAGACATCAAGGATACATTCAGGTCTGGAAATACATGTAGTTCCTAAATAACCAGGCGATTTATGCATCTTAGGGTAATCACACTACCGAAAAAAGGAGGTTGGGCTAATAGGTTAATTTTTTACCACATACATTCCATACCATACCACATACCAACTGCCTGCACTTGGGGCAAATTCAGTACAAACGCTTGCAATTTTAAACTGGGCATGGGCAAAAGACATTGCCATGCCCGACAGGTTTTTTACCTAACAGGGAATTCGTCCCTTTGTTGGCCGCTAAGTTTCGCGTTCGTCTGATGTAACACAGTATTGATGATGATCGATCAGGATTTCGATTCACGCACAAATAAGGTAACTTTTCACATAATTGGAGATTTCCAATATGATATTTCCAATATTATAAACTGTATTGCTTATCTTTGAGAGGAAATAAAGGATTCATTAATTCAGCATTTTTAAAATGAGCACCTAAGGTACCACCAATTCAAACTTTGCTTGCAAACATGTAACAGTTTTAAGGTTTGATTATAGTTGTAATTAACAGTTTATATCTTAATATATGGGGTGTGTGAGGTCTAATCTGGTTCCCATACGAG